CCCTAGTGGCTTTTGCTGGGCAGCTGCACGCAGACAGGATCTCTGATTCTTGCCTGGCCGCAGTGAAAGAATCTCTCCCTGTTGTTGTGGGCATGGCCGGCCTCAGGCTGCTGCTCCACTATGGCGGAGCTGCGTTGGAGGGGGAATTGGCGGGAGGCTGTTTATTGCCGTGAGGGGCCTCAGAGCTGCGCTGCCGCCAGGGGGTTAGGGTGCCTGGTGTTCCCCGGGAATCCCAGTTGCTGGGCCAAGTGTCCTGGGACGCTTCTGTCCAGCTGTGGGGTGCCTATTCCTTTAAGACTTTCAAAAAGCACTCGCTTTTCTTTGTCCCAGGGGCGCCGGCTGTGGGGACCCACTCACAAGTTTTACAGTCCTGTTTCCCTAGTATCCAGCACACCACACACTGTGTGTCTGTGCTCTGGTGCAGATGGCTAGGGCTGGGTGTTTAGCAGTCCTGGGCTCCCTGTCCTTCCCCGCTCCAACTCCTCCCGCTGGGGAGCTGGTGTCGGGGGGCACTCAGGTTCCGCTGGGCCACGGCTTATATCTTACCCCCTTTCTTGAGGCGCTGGGTTCTCGCAGGTGTAGATTTAGCCTGGCTGTTGTCCTGTATCTTCTGTTCTCTCTTTTAGGGATAGTTGTATTTTTTGAATTTTCAAAAATATATATGGTTTTGGGAGGAGATTTCCGCTGCTCTACTCACACTGCCATCTTGGCTCCACCCCTTTTTCCTTTTTTTTTTACACAGAAATTCACAAGTTAGAATCATCAAAGCTATTAGTGTTTGTCTTTTATACTATAATTCCTGCCTCTGATTTCATACCTACAAAGCTCTTTCCTACTTCAAGTTTTAAAATCGACTTCTCTTTATTTATGTTGAAAAAGGAGACTTAAATTATAATCCAGCTAGATTAAAACTTTTTGGGCATGTGTATTTCTGTGGCCAGTTCTACACTGTTTTAATTTTGTACTATTAAATTCACCTTAATGTTTGGTAAGATAAGTCTCTCCTAATTAGCCTCTTTTCCGACTTTTTTCTGTTGTAATACAGTTTTTTCTGGAAGTTTAGAATCATTTTGGTAAGTTCTAAAATTTCAGTGAGGTTTCTCTTAATAAGTTTTAAACAATCTGAAGACTTCACACATTACATTAAATGTATTCATCCAATATCATGTTGCAGCTGTAAATAGTTCAGTGTTATCTTAGGCTCTTCAGTGCACATGTATTTAGTTTTCTTCATCCACGTTTGGCACATTTCTTGTAAATGTATAGTGTGATGTTTTCTTGCTTTTGAGAATGGGATTATAACTGCCATGGTTTATGAGGAAAGAAATTGATTTTTTTTTTACTAGTAAAATTTATCTTCTTTAATATTAAGAAGACAGTTTTCTTAAGTAATGCATGATCTGATAATAAAGATATAATGAAGCACAGGAAATTATTTTGATAAAAATACAGAATTTTGTCTTCTAAGTAGTTACTTTAAAGGGCAAAGAGAAGCCCTTCACAACTGTTACTACCAAGAGCAGATCAATGATCTGAGATAAAACTTTTTCTTTTTAACAGAGATGAAACCAAATTTTAATTTTGTGCCAGCTTACATTTTTATATTAAAAATTATTTTAAAAATCTTTTTAATTTTAACCAGCTTGATCACACATTAAAATGCTTTCCCCAATATTTATTTTCATGAACTTGCTGTAACTTTCTTTTTTACACTCAGATTTTTTTCTAAGTTTTCCTTATTTTAATAACCAGCCTCTCACTTTTAGGACAAAATTACCTTCTTTTCCCTTCAACAGCAAGAAAAAATACATTTCCATTCCTCAAACCCTCTTTTTACCAAAAGCACACATCCTATTTTTCTTATATACAGAGTTGTTTCCCTTATTATTTCTATTGGCTTCAATTATACTTAGTAGAATTCTTAGCTTCTGGAAAACCAGTAAGCAATAGCAATTGAACTGTTATACCAGCATTCTTTTTTTATTTTTTTTATTTTTGAGAGAGCATCTCTCATTTTTATTGATCAAATGGTTGTTAACAATAATAAAATTCTGTATAGGGGAGTCAATGCTCAATGCACAATCATTAATCCACCCCAAGCCTAATTCTCGTCAGTCTCCAATCTTCTGAAGCATAACGAACAAGTTCTTAAATGGTGAACAAATTCTTACATAGTGAATAAGTTCTTACATGGTGAACAGTACAAGGGCAGTCATCACAAAAACTTTCAGTTTTGATCACGCATTATGAACCATAAACAATCAGGTCAAATATGAATATTCGTTTGATTTTTATACTTGATTTATATGTGAATCCCACATTTCTCCCTTTATTATTATTATTATTATTTTTAATAAAATGCTGAGTGGTAGGTAGATGCAAGATAAGAAATTGATTTTTTAAGATATTACTTTTAACCTTGCCACCTTACTGAACTTGTTTTAATAGCTTTCTTATAGGTTTTCCAAAGAAACCATGGTAATGTTTATAAGTATTGTTTACTTTATTTTTTCCAATGTTTAAGTTTCCATTTTCTAAATTTATTGTACTGATTAGAAATTCCAGAAAAAATATTATAGTGCATATTTCTTTCCTCAGAGACTTTAAACTCTATAGAATTGAGTGGGAAGACTCTGCCTTTAATTCTCAGAGCCAGACAATAACAAATGCAAAATTTAGGACCTTTGCTCCTGTGGTGGCTCCAAGGAGAAGAGTAAGCAATATGCAGTGCATCCGTACAATATTTATTTTCCTTTGAGTTTTATCCTATGTTTTGCTATTACAAAAATGCCACATAGATGAAACCTAATACCCACATCTCACTTCCAGTTGAAGATTTTTCCATCAGAACTATTTAAATCTTGTTCTAAGGAGTAGGCTCTACTTCCTAACCTGAATATTTTAATTTCCTAACAGGGCAGACTCAACATAATTATTGGAGCCTATGTAATCCTATTTATAAAAAGTATAATTTTCATTTCTTAAAAATTATAGATCAGTTTGCTAGATGTTCCCTCAAAACCCTACAAGTGTATATTTTTCCTTAAAAGCATAGAAAAAAGACATATATATATAACTATTTAAATTGGACATTTACAGACTTACTTCCTTTTTGATCATCTGTATTTATGTTTTTCCATAGTGAACATAACATTATTTAGTTAAAAGAAAAACATGTTATTAAAAAGAAAAAATCTGTTTCACCTTTGTGAGATGAGAACTGGGTGTCTTTGCTTTCCACCTGTAAGAGGAATACTCAGGCTTGGTCGTTAGTATCCTACCTTTGCCGGTCACCATCGTTTGTTTCACAAAGCAAAGGATTAGAACGATGTGAAGTCTATTTGGCAAGACATGAATAATTTCTTTGCCACATTCTATTTGATTTCCTTTATTTTGACCTCTTGAGAGGATGTTTAGCTGAGGAATGAAAATGTGAATGAGTGAGTATGGATTAGCTATATTTTCTAGTGAATGAAGCCTCAGGTACTCTGTCCAGCCGAGCTCATCAGAATTCTCTGCTTCAGTATATAGTCTTAGACCACAGCTAAGAACAGTGTTACTTTGCTTTCCATTAATAGGTCACTGCTTGTAGGAGTGTTGGGTGAAGGATCTGGCATTTCTAGGTTCTGTAGCCTTAATACCATCTGAGTAGCCCATCCTACCTCTTGTATTACACATTAAAATGTTTTATTGTAACATTGAGCATGACATTTAAAATAGGTAAACCTGGATCTGGTGTTAAGTGAGTTAAAAATCAGGGCTGGGTCTTCTTTGCACCTGATTTTTAATTTGCACCCAAATAATTGATAGTTTTTACACGAATTAGATGCTGTGCTTGGTATTACATATAAGAAAAGAAGCTTTTTTATTTCTTTTGATGACCTGGCTCAGCTGTCTTCTTTGAGTAGTCTTAACAAACAGCTGGATATATTAAGCAATTGCTGTCAGGAGTCAGTGGGCTCATTAATGTAGTTTTTTGGGAGTTGTATTCTCTGGTCAACCTTGAGTGGTTGTTCCCTACCTATTTTTCTGTGAATTCAGGTGAAATTTTTAGTGTGGCAAATCAAATTTCATACTGCCTAGCTTTTTGTCAAATGAGATACATAGCAAATATTTAAGCAGATAAAAGCATTGCTTCTGCAATTGTGTGCCTGTTTTGTGATCTTTATCAGAAATGTGTAAGTGTCTTACCATATAACCAATAGGTCTGTGGCATATTCCTCTAAGATGCAACTTCTGTTCCTTTCTGCTTTAACTGCATGGATCTTCTTTCCCAAATGCTTCTACCCTTGTGTTTCTAAGTACCATCCAAGTTTCTATGCTTTTTAAAGCTTTTTCTTAACCACAAAAATAGTACAGATGGATTGCAGAAAATTGAAATACAGAAAAGCACAGAAAATAAAAAACACCTATACTTTTATCATCCAGAAAAGTTGACTTTTTCTTTAAAAAAAAATTTAGAATCAGGCTGTTTGAAGTGTGTAACCTTTTTTTAAGTCATAATTATGAATTGTGAACATCCCACATTGTTAAATATTGTAACGTAACAATTTTTAGTGGCAGAATGTATGTGCTGTAATTTATTTAACTTGGTTGTTTTTAGTTTTTGCTATTAAAAACAACCTTATGAAAATCTTTCTCAAATTTGTAAATATCTCCATTAATCCACATTAATACATTTAATGTATTAATTAAATCTAGGATACATTTCTAGAAGAGCAATCACTGCATCAAAGGAATGTGTACTTAAAAAGTTTTTTTTATTAAGGTATTATTGATATACACTCTAAGGAAGGTTTCACATGAAAAAACAATGTGGTTACTACATTTAACCATATTTTGTATGGTGTGAAATGTTACAATCCCTCTTAAAACAATATTTTATTCATTTGATTGAAGTATATTTCATTTAATAGATGTTTTCTTTACATATTGCTCAGATTAACTTATTTTTTTTGTAAGGGACTGTAATTTGGACTAATTTTTTTCTTTTTTCATAGCTGGAGAACACATTCAAATCAGTTATTGCACAAATTGGACCTGGAGGTACTATCAATCCAGAGCTAAAACATAAGATAAGATATGTAAGTATTTTCTGTACTTGGGAAATGGGTAAGAGTTGATTATACATTTAGATGTTATTAGTGGTTAAGTCTAATTTGTCTGTAAGTATTTATTAGTTTTATGTTTATACCTAATCTTTTCAAATAAACTGCAAATGGAGTAGTTCTTTCAAGATCAGAAGAAAAAGTAAATTGCACTCTCCTAAATATCTTTAATGTTCTCTGAATTATTTAGAAAATATACATTCCTCCATAAATGTTCTTTTCCCTTTTTTCTTCCCCTAACCCCAATAAGTCATTGTTAACAAACAGTTATAGATCTTTCCAATACCAGTTTGTATATATGTATGTATACACGCACACACTTATACATATATATACATGTGTATGTCCATTATTATTCTAAATAGTGCATGGTATCCTATCGTGTTGATGTACCATATTTCATTTGTTTTAATATTGTCCTTTCATGAGATCTGTGATTGATTAACATTTGGGTTATTTCTAGTCTTGGCTATTAAAAATATTAATGTCCTTCAGCATTTATCTAGAGGTAGAATTACCAAAGGTAGTGAATATTTTAAGTTTTGATAAGTATTGCTAAATTGCCTTCTAAAAGAGTATGAACAAATCTGTACTTCTACTGACAGTGAAATGTTGCTATGCCATCATGTTTTAATTTATACCTCTTGATTTTTATATTGAGCATCTTTTCATACACTTCGTAGCCATTTGTATTCCTTAGGTGGCTTACCTCTTCATGTCCTTGGCTTAACTTATCATTTCTTCTTATTAATTTGGCCAAGTGTCCACCAATTACTTATTTAAGGATGTTCACTATGATTTTTTTTATAGTAACAAAAATTAGAGAAAAATTAAGCGTTCATTGATACAGGATTGGTTAAATTACCCACCCAAACTAGAGAAAATCATGTGGCTCATAAAAAGGTTTATGTATATCTTCATTAATTAAGATGAAAATAATTAATTTACATGGAAGTATCTCATTGACATATTGATGGACTTTAAAAACAGGTTTTAGAAAATGTCATGCTTAATATTGTCCTTTCATGTAAAATCATAAATAATGTGTGTGCATAAAGAAGTTTCTGGAAGGATGTTTTCTGAGATGCAGCAACTTTCTGGGTCACAGGATTTTGAAATAAGTTTTTATATTTTTCTGAAGGTTGAATTAGAGTTTGTAACAAAACATAATACCTGGAAAAATCTAGGAAAAGTTTTTTATATTTTATTGGGTAGAGTAAGTCCACTTTTAGGAATTTATCTTAAAAAATAATTGTACAAGTGTGTAAGATGCAAGTATGAGAATAAACATTGCAGTATTTGTGCTGATGGAAAGTAGGAAATAGCTATAAACAAAGGATTGAGTAAATAAATATGAGTATATTGAATAATTTGAAAACTCAATAGCCAGTAAACATGCTGATCCACAGTTACTGACATAGAAAAAATGTCAGTGGTGTGATATTAAACAATTGGTTATAGAAACAATGATGTTATTTTTATATTAAATATAGTTATTTCTATATGCACATGAACAACACTGGCTTGTATTATGGGTATTTTCTCTGATTACCTATATTTTCCAAAGTTTTCTATAGTATCCATTATATTTCTTTTCTACCATTAAAATGCTTGAAATTATGCTGTAGAATATTTATTTTATGTGAGCTAATAGCCAAATATGTTAGCTGAGCTAAAGAACTCTAGGAATTTTTGGAGCAGTATTGCACAGGCATGATTTCTCAACTCCAGAAATGTTGGAAATCACTGCTTTTCTGTGTCTCTACAACCTTTTTCAAACTTAAAACTGATTTAAAAAAAATAGTATGACTTTAATTCTTTCATTCAACAATGTTATTTTTGCCTTTGTTACTATTTAAGTTTATACTGGTTTTTTTTGACATTTTGTCATCCAGCATTCAGTGGTAACTATAATATACTTCATTTTCTATTTAATAGGTTCTATCCAAGTTTCCTGAAGGTTTGCTTATTTCTAAACTTCTTGGGCAGTTTGAGGTGAGTGTTCCCTTTTTCACCAACCATGGTTTTCTGTGGCTTATGTTTCTCATGACAGAAATTTTGTTGCTACTCCTTGGGTCCTTTAAGTCTGTGCCCTGGAACTTAAACATCTTATCTTACATTTTGGTGTCCTTTTCTTTCCTAAAATAGTTAAGAATATTGTCCTTAGTAAATACTTGATTATGCATAGGAAGGTATTTTTTACTACTTACTGTTATAAAATTATTAGAGTAAAAGTTAATTTATTTTTACTGTCTGATAATACCAAGTGTCAGTAGGGATGTGGAGAAACAGAATGTGTCATGCACTGCTTGTGGAACAAAACCTCTTTGGAGAACATTTTGGCAGTATCAACTAAAGTTGAAGATATGCATCCCCAGTGACCCACCAGTTGCACTTCTACATATGCACTTTAAATAAACTCTTGTACATGTGCACATGAAGACATACATAAGATGTATGTACATTGCAGTGTAGTAAAAAACTGGAAACAAATTAAATGGTCATCAGTAGGAGAATAGATAAATTGAGATTGACATTTATACAATGGAATAGTATGTAATAGACAAAACAAATGAGCTAGATTTCTTCTGCACATGGATCATTTTTGGAATAATCATGTTTAGTGAACAAAAATCAAGTTGCAAGAAGAATAATTCAGATATTGCCATCTATCCAATTTTCAAAAATAGTAAGTGTGTATTAGCTGTGTGCCAGCCTCTGTTCTGAATGCTTTTCATTTGATGTGTCAGAAAAAACTGAGGCACAGAGAAGTAATTTGCTGAAGAGTCAGCTAGTAATGGGTAATGAGGATTTGAACCCTAGGCAGCCTACCTTCAGAAACCTACCTCTTAACTACTATGCCATGAGAACTATTACATATTTGGAGATACAAACATGGATATTTGCAATGCTGTAACATAATGGTTAAAATAAATCACCTCTGTGTGCTATTTTATAGATGATATGTGAAGCCAGGATAATATTACCTACTTTCAAACTTTTGTGAAGTTTAAATGACTTAAAATTAAAGTACTTACAACAGTGCCTGCCACATAATAACTGTTTTATAAATGTTGACTCATAGTAGGAGAAAAAGAAGAAAATGTAAGTAGGAAAACTACACATCATTCCTGATAGTGATGGAGTAAACTTAAAATTCACATTGTTTTAAAGAAATTAATTTTTTAAAGCCACAGAGTTCATTTCACATAGGCCTGTGGGAGAAATCTAAAACAAAGGATTTTGCTGGTTTTGGGTTAACTAGTAAAGTCACTTATCTAATAATAAAATTACAGAATAAAGTCTGTGAGTAGTAGAATGACTTAATTATTATAAAACTTATGGGTAAAATCAACCTCTTGTGCCAGATTCACAACTTAGTGAACGGTTTTCTGCCACAATCATTTTAGCAAATGTAACTTCTTGTAACAAAAATTCATGATGTTAAGGTTACCTTACTATGCTGATAGACAGTAACTGCAATAGAGGGGTTGAGGATTTGATAATTTGGGTGAATGTTGAAACCATAGTTTTGTTGATGTGAAACAATCATAAGATTGTATATCAATGATACATTAATAAAAAGATAAATAAAAAATAAAGTTAGTCAGGGCAAAAAGTCATGATGTTATGGTTACAAGTCAACAATCTTGGGAAAAGTAAAACACCCTTTTAATGTTACAGGGAAGCTCTTTGCTCTTCTTAGTAAACAGTCATAGGCAGAAATTCAACTTTATGATTAGAAATATGTCGTAAGTATAGATTTAATTTAGCTTTTATTCTAACTTAACAGAAACACACCCCTAACCCTTTATCCAACATGATATTAAGAAAAAGCTACCTGTATGATTCACTCTCTTGAAGTACCTGGCTAGTCGTCTGCCATTCTTTCAAAATCCCTTATAAATTGCTAACTGAAGGGAAGACAGTACAGCATCATAGTTGTTGGATCTTCTTGAAACTCCACATAAAGACAGAAAGCAAAACCATAATCCACAATGTTTACAACAAATTTGGGTAATATAGTTTCCATGAACAGTTGTGTGGGGAGTAATCACCAGTAGCCACATAATCTTCATATCAGGGTCTATGCCAGGAGAAAACAGTGGGAAACACAAAAGAACCACAGAAGAACTGTCAGGTAGTTACTAAAGTTCACAGCAAGTCATTTTTAAAACAGCTGAAACTGGATGATATTTTGACATATGTAATAGCAGACAGTGCAAGGCACACATGTCTAATAGAGAGTGTTTCGTGCTAAGGCATAAATGGGACTGAAGCACTATAGCCCTTCTTAATTCTTGAAACAGATTGGCCAGAGCTCCCTTCCGGACAGGACCAGACACTAAGGAGAAATTGAACAGATAGGAAAATAGAAAAAGAGGGATCCAGGTATAAGTAGGGTTCAAGGAAAAGAGGAAATTTCAAAAACAACCTACCATGTATCTTTTTTCTATAAGAAATGTGTTTTTTTTTAACTGAAGTATCATTGATACACAATCTTACATTGGTTTCAAATATACAACACAGTGGTTCAACTGTTTTATTAAATCCTCACTCCCACTAGTGCAACAACCTATATTTTTTAACCGCATATAAATACAAGATGCTCTCTGAAGCAGAAAAGCAATACAGAATGATGTTCTATGGATTAGGAAAACAAATTTCACATAAAATGTGCAACAGAAGAGGATCAGAGTCAAATCTCTTCATTGTGTTAAGAAAAAAGAATAAGGAGCAGAATAACATATCTATAGACAAAGCATGTCAAACATGTGCCTTTAATATAGATCAATACTGAAGCCTGCTGTTTAAAAATATATTAAAGTGATATAAACATGAAAGAACAACATAAACCTTAATAACATCAATTTGGAAATAAGGTGATAGTATTTAGGGAAGAATAGAAAGAAACTTAACTACAAAGATTAGAAGAGCAAAAAAATACAACAGATAATGCCTTAAGAAAAACCAAAGGTACAATTCTTTCAAAATGTTCCTTTCTCAAGGGAACCCTCCTACACTGCTGGTGGGAATGTAAATTAGTTCAACCATTGTGGAAAGCAGTATGGAGGTTCCTCAAAAAACTAAAAATAGAAATACCATTTGATCCAGGAATTCCACTCCTAGGAATTTACCCTAAGAATGCAGGATCCCAGTTTGAAAAAGACATATGCACCCCTATGTTTATCACGGCACTATTTACAATAGCCAAGAAATGGAAGCAACCTAAGTGTCCATCAGTCAATGAATGGATAAAGAAGATGTGGTACAAATACACAATGGAATACTATTCAGCCATAAGAAGAAAACAAGTCCTACCATTTGCAACAACATGGATGGAGCTAGAGGGTATTATGCTCAGTGAAATAAGCCAGGTGGAAAAAGACAAGTATCAGATGATTTCACTCATCTGTGGAATATAAGAACAAAAAACTGAAGGAACAAAACAGCAGCAGATTCACAGAACCCAAGAATGGACTAACAGTTACCAAAGGGAAAGGGACTGGGGAGGATGGGTCAGAAGGGAGGGATAAGGGGGAAAAAAGGGGCATTAAGATTAGCACATATAATGTAGTGGGCGGGCATGGGGAAGGCAGCACAACACAGAGGAGACAAGTAGTGATTCTATAGCATCTTACTACACTGATTGACAGTGACTGTAATGGGGTATGTGGGGGGGACTTAATAATGGGGGGAGTCTAGTAACCATAATGTTGCTCATGTAACTGTACATTAATGATACCAAAAAAAAAATGTTCCTTTCTCAAAAGTCAAAAGGAAATGGAGACACTGGGGATCCAGACACAAAAGACTGTCTATAAGAGGTTTTTGAAATCTAGTGAGAACCCCAGGTATGTAAATAAATTAAGATGATATTATGCCTGAGTAGCTTATATTGGAATAATCCTAAAGGTAACTGTTATGAATTCTGGACAAAATATTTTAAAAACCACTCTTTGAAGGTACTAGAAATTGTCCAAAAGCAGGCAGAAGTTGGGCAGGAGTCAGCATCCAGAGGAGTGAATGGCACATCCTTGATTTGCCTGAGTTTTGGCTTGGTGGCAGGCCCCATCCCATACTTGGAACTGGGGAAATGGGTAAAAATGAGGATTTTCCCAGTGTAAGGAACCAGAGGATACAGTTTGTTGCTCCCTAAGCAGCTGAAAAATGAGAATAAATCTTAAGATGGAGAGAGCTGCAGAGAGGGAACCCCAGACACTACACATAAATTTCGCTCTAATCTCTGGCTAACTCTTGGTCTGCACAGTCAGGCTCAGAGCAGCATGGTAAGGCTAAAAGAACTGAAGGTGTTTCAGCTGTTTCCCCCAACTGGGAGGCAGAGTTTGAGTTTAAGTTATGCCAAATTAACTCCCTGCTGAAAAAAAAAGCAAAAGCAATACTGCTAAGTGGAGCATAAAACATTCCAGAGGCTCTACAACACATCTGCCACAATGTCCAGGATACAAACCAAAATTACTAGCTTTGTTGAGAGAAGAAAATGTGACTGACCTTGGTGAAGAGAAAAAGCAGTCAATGAAGATGATCCTGAGATGATGCATATGTTGATGTTAGCAAAAAGGGTTTTAAAGGAAACCCTTTAAGACCACATTAAAGTATTTAAGGGAATATGTCTTCATATTGAATGTACAGATAAAATCTATAAAAATCAAATCATTTTCTAAAACTGAAAATGAAATAGCATGAAACAAAAAATCCACTATCCACTTCAGTATCTTAACAACAAATTGGAAATGGCAGACGAAAGTATTAGTGAACGTCAAAAGAGGTCAATAGAAAGCCATAGCATGATGGGTGGAGGGGCAGTACAGGGAATTATAGATTGCAAAGTTCTTAATACTTTATGCAAGGTAGTACAGTAAAACTGAAAAGTTAAGGATGTATAGACCTACCTTAAAAATACAGTTATAAACCCAGTAGATAAATTAAAATGGAATTGTATAAAAATGCTTAGTAAACCTAAAGGAAGATAG